AGTGAATAGGCCTTACATCAAAGTTTGATGCTGTCTTACAAGACTTCCTACTTAGAGCAAGATGTCTTCAACTGGAGTCCTCTGTTAAGGTTTTCATGAAGTTTGGTTGTTAAAAGTTCTGATCCTTTTCTGTTGTCATTGGTTAGTGACTACATTTCCTCCTGATAAGCCATGAAAATCAAATATTTGAGAAAAGACAAGTGGTCATACCCCTAAATTCTTCCAGTTGGTGAGCTAAGAGGGGTCATTTTTAGGGACCCACTGAGTTTGCTGATTGTTAAGGGTGGATGGTCTATTTTCTTAGGCTGGTGACTGGGATTGAAATTGAGCAACAACCTCTAAATAGGGTTGTGCAAAATGTCGATGCAACATTCAGGCATGTGTCATTGAAAACCACTGGACTTTGGAAGAAGTAAACTGGAGAAGATAATTGCACTGGCAAGGGCCAAAGACAAGGATAGTTAGGACAATGAAAATAATCATTAGTAGCCATTTTTATCAAGAAAACTTTGAGAACCAAGCCCAGATAATAGTGAAAAGTGCTGGAGTTGACTTGGACATAGCTCTAGATAATATAAACATAAAATTTGAAATAGATAACAGAAAGTTATTTTATGCCACAAAAGTAATAAAGTTTTACAGTTGGAATATTTATATTTGTTTTCTCATTCTATAAGTAGACCTACACATGAAAAGCCAAATTTTCACACAAAAATATGTCACTGGAAAGAGTCTAAGGAGTTCCCTAAAACAACAGTGGGGAACCTTGACTCACTTCAACCATAGGGCATGTTGCTCCCATAAAAGAATTTTCAGGAAGCATCAGTAGGAGAACTAGAGGTATTTATTAAGCAGTATTTTGGGGCTGGGGATTTGGCTCAGCGGCAAAGCACCTGCCTGGCAAGCGCAAGGTCGTGAGTTCGGTTCCTGGTACCGGAGAAAAACCAAAAAAAAAAAAAAAAAGGACAATTTATTAAGCAGTATTTTAAAAGTACCTCTCAATGAAATAGAGTGAGTCCCATTTGCAGGCAAATAAGGATGGTCTAAACACAAGTACAAAAGGCCCATTTACAAGTAAAAGAATATCCCAAGTCTATTTACAGGTAAAAAGAAATGGCCCAGGCTTATTGTGTGTTTAGAGACCTAAGGGATGTTTGACAGGATTTGTATCTGTAACCTATTTTTTCCTATTCTATCTCAGGATACTTTAATATACAACAAAATAACAATGTTGACTTACTAGTAGAGGTGAAGAATATAATTAGTATAATAAGACCTACTTAATTTAAATGAAGCTATATTTATATGTCAAGGTCAGTTAAGGTTCCTCAGGGGTTACTTTTGGTCCTTTAAGAGAAGTCTTTTAGTTCTTCCCATTTTTTTAACAAGTTGAGTTATCTCCTAGGGTGGGTGATGGTCTTGCTTAACCACATAACGTGTTTTTAGAGGTGTGGAGACATTCACCACTTTAGTGACTCTCATTTTTGTAGAATGAACATTGGCTGGCTACTGTCCTCTGGGATCCAACAATCCCACTGCTCAGGTAATTGGTTGACTTGCCAGAGTTTCAGGGTCCATTTAGAGGAACCTTGTCGTGCCCTGGGTCCTGGATGATCTTGTATGGCAAGGACCAAAATATTGGTTGTCCTCTTAGCCCTTTTAAGTTCCTTACCTTTAGTCACCAAGCCTTAGTTGGTGAACCCAGAAAGTTAGGTACACTAGTTTTAAAATATCAGGAATAGGTCTTAATCTTAACTCCTATAATCCAATTATAATACTATCTCAATATCAGGACATTTAAAAGTGTAATGTAGATAATGGCCTATAATGTATACTAAAACTAGTTAACTTGCCCATTAGAATTCATACTCCTGTAGAATGTTAACAGATAACAGTTATAAAGTTTTACAAGAAGCATGTAAAACAAAAATAATAAAAACAAAAGAGCACTTTAGGATAACAATTATGATGACAATTTTAGTACCTGCATGACAATGTACTAGGAACTGATGATGTAGCTCCATGGTAGAGTATTTTCCTTGCATCCATGAGGTCCTAAATTCAAGTCCCAGTACTGCAAATATTTTTTAAATATACATTTTTTAAAGATTTTTATTTTACTGTAAATTATTTATCAATAATAAATTACCTTTATCCAGTTACAACATATTAAGTAACATGAATAAATCTTAATTTAAATCTGTGTTCTTTTAAATAGAATGTCCCAGTTTATAGAGTTACTTTATAAGTGACTAATGTCCAATCTTTAATTAGTAGAGTTTCACTGCCTATAGTATATCTGTGTACATCTGACTAGCATAACACAATTCAGAAAACATAAATGTAAGTCTGAAATAAAATGTATCGTTACAAAAAATTTTAGTCTGGAAGTCATCAGTATGATAAGATGGTAACTTAAAGTTTGCATTTTAAAAAGTTTGTATATCTGAAGAACAGAAAAGCATTTAATATACTAAGTTAGCGTTAATTCATCCTAGCTATATAAGGATCTTCTATATGTTTATATGATATATATATTTTAAAATATAGCCAATGGCCATCACTATACTTGCCAAGTCCTACTGTAGAACACAGATAAATAAAATTTATTGTATACCTCAGAGAAGGTCACACAGGGTAAAAAGACAGCTTTGTGAAGAATCATTTTGCAATAATATATAATGTAAACTATACTCCAAATATGAGGGAATCATAAATAAGTGCTATCAACATAGATTTAAGATGTAACATTCATGCTGGGTCTAGAACTTGAATCTATAGACCAACCTGGCCTTCTGCTTGCTCTTTAAAATAAAAGAATTATTGCAACAGAGCCACATTAATTCATTTGCATATCATCTATGATTGTTTTTTCCCTGCAACAACAGAGCAAAGAAATTTCAACAGACTATCCTGTAACACAGACTGTATTTCCTACTTAACACTTCACAGAAAAACTTTCCCAATCCCTGGTCTGAAGAAAGAGAAGTTTGCCAGGACATGAAGAAGAAAAACATGCACAAATGGTATCTTCAGATCCAGTTACCTACATTAATTAAGAATTATTCAAGTTTTTACTTCTTCAGGAAAATGTTCTGACTCTTATTTTAATGTCTGGGTGAAGGAGATTCAGGCACTCATAAGAACTCAGAAAAATATCTTTTCCTTCTTGTCAGGAAGTTAAAGAAGCCAGCAGGCTATCAACTGAAAGAGTTTTCCATTATCCCTTTACTAAAACAACAGCCCTCTCCCTGCTAAGCTTTACCACTTTACATTTTGTGTGGCCTACTCACATTTTTAATGATAATAACATTTCTGTTCTCTGAAAATGATAGGCCCTGACTCTTTTCCAACCCCTTAGTAACCCTGATGGTTTTCACTCCAGCTGCACCGTAAAAAGAATAGGTGTTGAAGGAATGAAGATTGTACAGACAGAAAACAAAGAGTATTAAACTAAAGCTGTACTAACTCTAAAGGAGCATCCCTTCAGTGTTAATTATGAAACACAAATCTATGCTTTGGGGAGAAAATTGCTCTGCCCCTGTTCTGATTTGCAAATTGCTGTTTCCTGCTGAAATATCATGCCCCTCTTCCCCAGTGCTGCTATGCATTCTTCAAGTATAACCTTTACCCCATCTTCCTGAAGCCTCTTTGCCTATTATACCTATCTTCAATCTTACCTTGTCTGAATATCATCAATAGATAAGATGTTTCTGCCTCCTTTAAAGCTCTTCTTAAGCATTTGAGGATGCTTCTAATCAAGTATTACATGATCAAGACCATTCTCAGGCTGTTACAGTCCTTTTAATCTGTGGTTCTCAAGTGAAGTCCAAGGGCCAGAATCATTATCACCTGGCACAGTGCCAGAGTTGGAAAATATTAAGCTCCTTCCAGCCCTACTGAATCAGGAACTCAAGAGCAGGGAGGTAGCAGGGAGGACAGCAATAGCAACTATGTTATAAAAGTTCTCTAGATGATTCTGCTTAAGTGCATTGGCTTTTAGTCCTAGTTGTATATTGCAGAATAACATTTATGCTAACTCTCATAAAGAATGTGATTTAAAGGATTGTATGAGGCTGAAATTTGGTTTTTTTGTTTGCTTGCTTGCTTGTATGTTTCCATGCATGAATGAATCCATCCATCCATCCACTCAGCTGCCCTTCTTACATCATTCACTGGAATAATGCTTTGCAATAGTTATATTACTGGATGAAATAAAAAATACAGACCAAGATATAATGTCCTTTAAAAGGAAATAAAAGAAAACATGTTTAAGATAACCACAGCAAGAACCAAAAAAAGACCTACTGAAATGATCCTTCAATTTTACATTATCCACTGTACTTTGCAAACAAAAACTCACCTGATTAAACTTTGTCTAAGATATTGTACATTCACATCTCACCAGGAAACAGAAAAGGAATACCATTTCACTTAGGTAAATGATCCCTTCAGTAACTTGCAGAAACATAGTATTGTATTACTAATACACACATTCCACTTTTGTGAATACATTTGTCTCTACCACTTTTTCCAAGTACATAAGATATTGGTTTTATATGCATCTTCCTCATAGACATAGAAATTTTTGCTTTTCAAGCCATAATATTACCAGTAAAACTTCTTGGGAAACTAAAATAATATCCAGAAAAGTCATCATTTTAATAAACTATCATGATGAAAATACCCTTAAAAATACATATCTGACAAGAGTTTGAACTTGACCAGTATCCTCTATTTCCTAGAAGAAATAAAATAGTATTCTTCAGTTCATCTGAGATATGAGGAGAGAAGTAGAGTGAGGGCAAAATGCACATTATTTTGTAAACAGTGAATTAGCTTTGGCTTACTATAAAAATATTAATTAGAGTTTTCTCTGCCAAGTAACATACTCACTTAGGTAACTAAGGAATAATAAACCTTCATACTAACATTCTTGTTTAGAAATGGGCCAGTAAAACTCATAATTGATACAAAGCTGGAATGAGTTCCAAAAGGGTCCAAGGGCCAAGTCTTCAAAGGTTCTTCCAGAGCTTCTTGCCATCTGGAAAGAAATACAAACAGACAGTCTTGGTCTCCAAGAAAGTTTCACAAGTGTATTTCAGGGTCTACCTCCTCTCCTCCTTTCATTCCAGCTGCCTCACACTGACCCCACCACACACACACACACACACACACGTATGGTTAGTGTAGTCTCTGCATTTGTGTACATGTTGCTTCTTTTTCAAAGACGTGATCACTTCCTTATTCCTAGTATTGATCTCTAAACAGGTGGCCTTCACCAGACAGCATTTCTCAACCAGCCTACACCAGTGCATCTCAATCTCTCTGTGAGAATTAACAAGATTTTTTGTTTCTTTATGATTTTAATCTCTAATGTATCACAGATCAGCAATTTTATAAAATTCAATTAAAATTAACTATTTTGAAAGTGTGTAAAATAGCATGCAAAATATATTTGAATTTTTAAAATTATCTGCAGACATGAGCTACACACTTTTAATGCTACAACATTTTTAACAAGGTCTAATCTAGATAATGCTGATCTATTTCTATTGCTTACAAACATTTTTGCAACTTTCTACATGTAGAATGTGAATATATAAAGATAAATTTATTATAATAAATTGAATCTACTGTCATACCATCCTGAATTTGGCCTGATCTTGTCTGATCTTAGGAGAAGTGATTAACAAAATTATGGAGGCTGCACGTTCAACATCTTCAGGGTAAAGATTGAGGAAAGAGCTGATGTTACGTGTCAAGTTTGAAGGCTGTATGCTACAAAACTTCTTTCCTAGGTGTTATTGTTTGTTTCTAGACGCCCACAAAACCTCATGTGGTCACAGGCAGGGTGTTTTCAGAGGTGGTTGAATCTAGAGTGCATGACATGGGGATTAAGGGTGTGTAATTACTACTATATCAGTCCACTGACTGGTTTGGCACCACCCCAAACCCAATATCCTAAACTATAAAAGGGGCATAAAGAAGCTGCTGAGATCTCGTTCTTGCTTTGCTACCTTCTGCCTGCCATGAACTGTTTCTCCTCTGGGATGCCCATCTGCCATGCCACCCTGCCCTGGAGCCAGGCAATTATAGATTGAAACATCTACAAACTGTGAGAAAAATAAATCTTTCCTTCTTGGACTTTGGGTGTTGGGTATTTTGTTTCAGCAACAAGAAAAGTAACTAATAGAGAATCTGGTATCAGAGAAATGGAGTTGTTGTTCTTACTATACCTGTGCCTGTGACTCAGGAGCCTTTGACACTGGTTTATGGAAAGAGCTTGGAAAGATTTGGAGATACGAAAAAGACAGCCCTGGAATGCCCGAGGCTATACTTGATGGGAGATTATGGTCAGAGATCAGAAGGCCAGAATGCTGAAAGAAATGATCCCTGTAAAGACCAGGCTGAGGAATTTTCTCTGGGAAGAAGGAGTGCACTGGCTGTTCAGCTCCAGACAATGTGTGATATACCTTATTAGAAAGTTTGTCTGCCTTTTGTAACGTACAAAGACTGACATTAAGACTGACATTTTGTAACACCTGAGACTGACATTAAGAGCAGTGGACTAATTAATCTTGCAGATGAAATTTCAAAGCAGTCTAATGTTGAGATTGTGGCATGGGTAATGTTTGGGGCTTTTAGTCAGATTTATGTTGAGAATCAAGAGCAAAGAGCCTAGCAGAATAACTCAAAACATTGTGAGTTTGACTGAAAAGGAAGCTCCAGTAAAGTTGCAGCTGGTAAAGATGAAATAGAGGAGAAACTGGTAGCTGAAAAGACTAGCAAGGAAAAGCCACATGTTTCAGGAGAAGACAACAAAAAGATACCTGAGGAAATCAAAGAACCAGCAGGATCCCAGCCTATGCACCTTCAGAGTTACAAAATGAAAGAATTTTGTTTGAGAAGAGAGCCCCAAAACACCACGTTCCAGAATGGTGGTGGTCTAGAGAATTTGTTCCTTCAGACTGTATTCAGTGTGGTCAGAGATCCAGACACTTGACATCTACAGTCAAACAAAAAGGAGCCTGGCTACTGCTCCAGCTGGCAGCACACCTCGGCAGCAACCAAGTGATACCAGTTTTAGGTGCATGCAGAACGCAAAAATTGTGGTGTCAGGAAGGCTTCCACCCAGATTTCAGAAGAAAGGCTGGGAACCCAGGTGCTGTGCCCCTGAAATGGCAGTGTGTGAAGCTGTGAGTGTGAAGCCAAAGGTGCATTAGAGGCCTCAGAAAGTTGGAGAACCCAGGAATGTGGATTGTCTGAGAAAACTGTAAGGAAGGAGCAGAGGCGGGCCAAAAGAGAAGCCATGGGAGCTACCAGCACCAGGAGTGTCATAGGAGTGAAGCCACCCCAAGCCCTTTGGAGTTCGTAACTTTCCACAGGTTGTAAACAATGCTGCACATGGAACTACAGTACTTAATGTTTGCCCTGATGGTTGTTAGACTTGCTTTGGTTCCATTCCTTTGTTTCCCCTTATTTGCATCTTTTGGAATGACAATGTCTACCTTGTGCTACTGAATGTTGGAAGTGTTTAACTTTCTTTTCCTATGTGTGGGGACTCACAGAAGATTTTCAACTTGAACTTTTGAACGAGGCTGAAACTGTTAGGACTTTGGCAACTCTTAGAGATAGAATAAATGCCTTTTGCGTAAAGGGATGAGCATGAGTCCTTGCGGAGCAGAGACAGAATGTTATGTCTTATGTCTAGATGTGCCCTGAAAGCCTCATGTAGTCATAGGTGGGGGCTTTTTCAGAGGTGGCTGAATCTAGAGTGTGTGATGCTTGATCTAAATGTGTGTAATTATCAAATCAGTTCACTTATTGGTTTGGTACTGCCCTAATCCCAGTAGGTTAGAGAGATTATGGACTATAACCACCACAAACTGTGAGCCAAATAAACCTTTCTTCTCTTTTTTTTTTTTTTTTTGTCTTTTCTTCCGGTACCAGGAATCAAACTCACGACCTTGCATTTGCCAGGCAAGCGCTTTGCCGCTGAGCTAAATCCCCAGCCCCTAAACCTTTCTTCTCTTGACTTTGGGCATCAAATACTTTGTCTTAGCAATGAGAAAAGTAACTAACACACCCGAGAAACTTAATCTTTTATTTTATTAAAACCTTCAACTGGTTGGATGAAGCCCATCCACTTTATGGTCACTGGGATGCAATACTTAACACTAACAAATTAAAAGAAGACAGGTTTGTTTGGTTCATGCTTTCAGCCCATGGTAGGCTAGTTCCACAGCCAACAGGCATAACAGAAGAGCCAGCAGAGGAAAACTGCCTGGGTCAGCGTGCAAAGACAGCAGGGAGGAGCTAGGGAGCAAGACATAAACTTCCAGGTCATATCCCCAGGGATCTGTCTCTTTCAAACAGGCCCCACCTCCTAACTGCAAGCCAGCTGTAGCATCCCTATAGTCTAATTATCCCCCACCAGCTCCCACCTTTGAACATATAAGGCTATAGAGGGACATCTAGACATAAACCATAGCATAGGGCAATGTACTTTAAAGTCTATCAATTTAAATGTTAGCCTCATCTAAAAACACACTTTAGAAACAGGCAGAAAAATGTTTGAGCAAATACGTATTTACACTGTGGCCTAGCTCAGCTGACACATAAACCACCACAAAATCCTAATTAGAGCCATGAATTAAACATACAAAATACAATAAGCAAAGCAGAATGGAATAAGGATCAAAGAATGGAATCAAGCTCTTTGTGGCATCCTTTCACTGTTTTTATGGTATAGATTAGTCCACCAGCACTGAGGGTCTAAACCAGGACTTCACATATATTATACAAGCACTACAACAATGGGCCACACTCTTAGCCCTGAATATGATTTTCCTGGTTTTACATAGTATGACGTCCAATTTTATGTCAAGCCATATGTACCAATTACTTCTTTCCCCATTTTCTGAATTTTAGTCACACATTTTTATTCCAGTGGCTAAATCTTCCATGTTCTCTACAGATGTGAGACTTAAATTTATTTGCCACTGCCATTCCTCTACTTTGACACATCTTTTCACCTTCTATTCATCCTAAATTCTCAACATAACCTTTATTTCCCCACAGAATTTCTTTAACCTTAACCCAAAGTCACCAATCTAGTTCAGGATCATTTGTTTACTTTCTCAGTAAACTGTGATCTTCTTCTTAGATGCACTAGCACTAATTTGCAATTATAGACTTAGGCTTTGTCCACTATTGCAACTCCAGTACCTGGTTGACTTTCTGTTCCCAGAAAAGTAGGTACTTTATAAATATGCTGGTGCAATCAGTCAATCAATTAATTAAAGAAATAAAACACAAAATATTTCATAGACTTGTACAAATTTTCAGGATGAAAAGGGAATAAGGAAAACAGAAAGAATGCAACTTCATTCTAATCCCTTTCCTCTTTGCCAAACTAGCATTGGGTCATAAATTTCTTCAAAATCCCTTGACTCTGGTTTATTTATATTTTTAATTACCTTGTTAGCATTCTGTTATTATTTTAAAAATATGTATGCTGGTTAATATTTGAGATTAAATACATAAATTGAAAGGAATCTATAATAACATATCAACCAAGTAAAACACATAGTACAATTTAATAATATAAAGAGCATGCTAAAAATATCAGCTATTGTGCATATATGTCAAAAGATGACAAGGATAATAAAGCTGAAATGTAATGTACAGTAATAACACACCCAGGAGAACAGTAAATGAGGCATCTTTAAATTGCCTTTAGAATAAGGACCTGTTGTTGCAAATTATAATATCAAGAAAGCAGTAAACAGAACTAAATGCTCTAAAGGTTTGTAAATTAAAACAAAAATGACAACTTTAAGTATTGTTCATTATCCTGGTTTAACAGAGAAAATTTGGAAAATCAGTCACAATTACCAAGCTAAGTCTGCAGAGAAACATCAGCAGAGTGAAGCTCTAGAAGGAAGATACTACTGATGGGAAAAATATCCAGCAAAGCTACCAAGAACTTTTTTTTAAATTGAGATGGCAGGATTACAGATCATTTCCTCAGGTCTTTATTCACATTTTTCTAAATTTGAAAAAGCAATTTAAGGACAAAAGGTACAAAATGTCTACAAAGTTGTGAAAAGTTTCTCAGTCAATACTATCCCATGTAGACAGAAAACACTTCCTATTCACTTTAATTTCTTGATTTATTTATATAAAAGTTTCTGAGAGTCTGCCACTCCTAAACATTATCCTAGATCTTATAATGACAAAAATGTCAGCAGAACCTTCCTGTGATCTTCCCTCCACGGCAGTACATCATGGCCACCAACAATTATGGGAATTAACCTGCGATATTGCTCCCATGTCACAGGAATAAATATAATCAATCACAATCTCTACTAAATATGCACCCACCATGCATATTTAGTAATTCAGTGTTTATTTACTGAGCATCAAGTCTGCTCTGAGCATTATGAATATCTTGGATACAGAAATGAACAGTATCAAAAGTCTTTGTTTATGAAATTCCTCACCATGACTTTTATGACTTAGATAAGTGTCCCCAGAGGACCTTGTATTCCACATGTGGTTCCCACTCTGTGGCACTATTGAGAAGTAGTGGAACCTTGAAGAAGTGGAGTCTAGTGTAAAGAAGTTAGGTCATTTGGCCATGCCCTTGAAGTGGATATTGGGAAAACGGCCTCTTTTTGTCTCCCTCTTTGCTTCCCAGTCTCCATGAGGTGAGCAATTTCCTCTGCCGCAAGTTTGCATCATAATGTGCTAACTTGCCGCATGTTTCCATCATAATGTGCTTTATGTTTCATTTGCACTAAAGTAATGGAGCCAACTGACCATGGTTCTAGGGCTCTGACAACATGAGCCAAAATCAACCATTCTTTCTTTTCTTCTCAGTCTTTTCTTTGAGACAGAGTCTCACTTTGTAATTTAGGCTCATCTGAAACTCACTATGTACTCAGGCTCACCTTCAACTCAAACTGATGCTGCTGCCTCAGCCTCTCTACTGCAAAATAAACCTTACTGCCTGATAAATTGCTTCAGTCTCAGTTTGGTTCACTGATAGAAAGCTGACTAACCCATAATGGAATACAAATGAAACAGAAACATTTTTAAAGCTGCATCTGTTTGTCAAAGCAATATCTTTGTAACTCTTTAGACTGTTTCCTGGTGATGCTAACTAAATTTACTTCAATCCTTACATGAAGACAACATCAAGATTCTATTTGCTGGCAGGAAACAAAAATCCCACTGGCTGGGGCTTTCCAACTTGGAGTTTATTTTTCTTTTATAGGCAGAAATTAAGAGACAGTTATACATTTCTCAAGCTAATCCTTCTTTATGGCAGAGTAGTAATTCACTGAATTAAAAAAACGCACACATCTTCTTTATCCATTCATTGATTGATGGGCATTTGGTCTGTTTCTAAGATTTAGCTATTACAGACTGTGCCACTAAAAAAAATGGTTGTGCGTATATTGCTATTTTAGGATGCTTTTATTTATTTCAGGAAGGTACCCTAAGTGGATGTACCTTGAGATGATATGCTAAGGGAAATAAATCAGACACACACATTTAAATGCTACATTGTTTCTCTGGTGTGAGAAGATGAAAGGGTAAAAAAACAGAGGTGATGAAATGAGAACTAATTCAATAGCTCCTTGATATCAAAGGGCATCTTTTCTGTTTTGTAGATTCCCTTCTCCTTTCCAATTTGTTCTGCACTTGCTACCTATAGTAATGCAAGAGGGAATAACAGCTAATAATACTTTTGATCAACAAGGGTAGAAATAAGATCTTGAGCTAGTGAACATCAATCTATAAGAAACAGAAATGTATGAAAGTCAAACATTGACAGTATAGATTTGCTCTGTATTCAATGTCTTAGCAAAATATGTTGAAATTTTAATCCCACGGTGAAACACTAAAAAGAGGGGACAAGTAGGACTTTTTTAAAAAGTGATTAGGTCGTGATTTAATGGGATAAGGATATTTTGATAGTGTCAATTTTAAAAGGATTTTGACTCTCTTTTCTATGTAATTTTCCTGTGATGTGATGCTCTACACCACCTCAGAATTCTGCAGAGTCCCCATGACCAAGAAGATCCTCATCAGATGCACCCTCTCATCCTTGAACTATATGGCCTCTAGAACTGTATGATAAAAATGTTTCATGTATAATACTTGGTCTCAAATATGTAGTTATATAAATAGAAAATGTACTAAAACAGCTAAGAAATGGAAAAGTAAATGTACCTAGGATTGAGGAAAATGAAGATAAGCATCCAGGTGATTTGAATTGTACCTGAAGAACAAAAAGATCAATAATGAGTTGTTCATGTATGGATTGGTACCACAGGTACAGACAATCTGTCCAGGAGTGGGAACATAAATGGGCTGAAGATTTGGTTCAGTGGTAGAGCAGTTGCTTGCACCACAAACAACAATAAACATTAGCAACAACCTGACAACCAGTGAGGAGAATTCATGCCAAATATTATAAAACAGCAGTTATAAAATTAGTAGGCACTCACTAGATGATAGCAGAGACTAAGTGTGTTGTCTACATCCGTGTCATTTTTTCAGATAAATATTTTGTTTTATTAGTACATGTGTCTGCAATTCATGCAGTTTACAGTCATCTTGGGGAGTAGTTACACGTACATATTAGAGCTTTTCTTCTTTTTTAAAAACCCTTTCCTTTCTTTCCTTTTTCCCCCTCTTCCTCCGGTTCCCTGTCCCTTTTTCATATTTGTTGATATGATTTGTCTTAGCTCATATTATGGCATGTAGTGTTTACATTAATTGGGATTGCTAGACAAGAGTCTAGGTGATTTAAATTGTATTGTACATGGCACATCATAGTTCTTCTCATTTCCCCTTCCCTTGCTATCCAATCCTCACTCTTGTTCACTTGGACCACTTCCCTATTACAAGAGATCCAACCCCTTGTCCCTTTTTATTCATCCCTTCTCATTTTATTTGTTTGTACTTTGCCTCACTCAAGTGATTTCCTAATGATTGCCATTCTTTCTGGAGTAAAATGGAATCAGTGTTATTTTACTTTGCATTTACTAACGGTCAGAAATGTTGAACATTTTTTCATATACTTAACTCAGACTTAGAACCTCTTTCTCCCAGTTTGCAGGCATTCTTGTAGAGTTTGACCCAGTCTGAGTTTTGTGTTAAGAACTTTTGCTGTCCCTCTCCTTGAGCATAATTATGGATTCAGTGGACAAGTTCACTGGCACTAAATTGTCCACTAAGTTAAGATTATTCCTCTACAATCAATTCAATTACAGCAGTGCCAGGTTATACCATTACAGTGGTATCTGTCAGGGCTGGTTGAGAAATAACATACCAAATGACCCTGTTTGGGGTTTCCCTTTAGCAGTGGTGCCAATGTAAGCTTCCCATCCTGTGTAACTAAGGCTGAAACTGACCTCTGAAGGAAGGAAATGAGTCTGTGATCAGCAGTCCCTGCCTCTCAGTAACACTCCCTCGAGTCTTCTTTCCAACTGCAGCAGTCTCCTGTGACTGTCCTTCCATCATATCCACTGGGAACTTAGCCATGTGAAGCCGCCAACAGGCTGTTCCAGGACCCAGGTTCAAACACCCTACAGTGGTGTCCCTATCAGCTCCTACTCACATGTCTGTCTTCAGACATTTGTGCCACAGTCACTCACCAACTGTTGACTCTGGAGAGCCTCTCAGGAAGCAGTGCCATGCATTCTTCCTGTCGTCCTCAACAGCATAAGATCCTCCTTGTCCGGGTATTCCTCGCTGGTTCTTTTTGAGCAGAAAAGTTGTTAGTTTCACTTTGCCTCAAAGCTGGCAGCTAGCCAGCCACTTCTGATAGTGCCACAGTCTCTCTCTCCTGCTGCATAGTCCACCGCTTCTGTGTCCCTTAACCTGATATTTCCCCCTCTGTCAGTTCCCTCGTGGTTTTCATGTGCTCTCCTCTCACTTTGGTTCCTTTCCAAGCTGTTGTTTTCCAGAGTCTGGACCCTTCTGTCCTGGAGAAGCTGAGTTGCTATAACTTATTGATCTGCTTTTTTTTCCCTTTCTACCTCTTACATTACTGCCATTTATCCTCTCACTACAATCACTGCAATCTTGTCAGTCATAACAGAAAATCAGAGGTACGGGTAATAGGTTCTCACATAGTGTATACAAAAACAGCAGCTGGGTTAAAGGAACTGAACAAAAAATAGTGCATTAAATTAATGATAGCAAATTTCCCTGAACTCTAGAGGGAAGGAATCATGGGTTCAGTGGTATTCCAAGAACCCAGAGAGAGGATATATGGCTGTGAGAAAGCACTAAGCACCAACACATGATCTTTCTGAGAGGGACACAGCCAAGTGTAAGGCCGGACAGAAGTGAGCATGGCAACAGGGCCTTATTTCACTCTCCTTGAGCATTTTGATAACCTACTGGTACCACACGTGGGCATAAGCCAGTTGAAAAGCAAACTATAAGAAGATAATCCAGCTTCATGGGCCACAAAATGTACCTGGGGAAACAAACAGATCTCTAGCACAAGTTCTACTAGCTAGGCAATTTTTTTGTTTGTTTCTCCTGTTTTATAAGTGTAGAAACTCAAAGAGGTTCCAAGGCATGAAAAGTTCATCTGAAGCAATTTCTCCCTCTAGAACCATTCCACTCAGCTACCAAACTATCTCATTCCTTCACACAAACTTTAGTGGGCAAAATAGTAACATGGCACAATTCTTGACTCTGTTCAATAATGTATTAGACAGAATAGATGAATGTCCTAGTTTTGCATTCTTTGCATTCAACTCTGCATTGTGAAATTGCCCCCAAATCATCCTTTCACTTAAACTCTAGACAAGTGATTCTCAGAGTCATGTATCCAGACCAGCAGCATCGTAATCTCATGTAGACAACTGGTTAGATATGCACGTAATGAATCCTCACTTCTAAACATACTTTACCAGAAATTCTGGGACAGAATCTCAGTGTTTTTAACTTACCATACCTTCGGATGCATACTGAATTTCATGAAGCACAATAGATATATCTGTCACGTAGAAGAAAATATCTAAATGTTTGAGAAGCACTTTACCCAACCTTTTTGGTGTTAGCAGCTGTATCCAGTTACTCTCTACACATTACAATTGTGGTGCATCCTTTTAGACCTAAAGAAGACCACCATAGGAATCCAAGCAAGCAAGTGAAACCATCAATGTCTTTGCTGCTACCTTCTTTCTCAGTTCTCTGAAACAGTCTAATTCATGAAAGAACTGGTAATAGTTGCTAAAGACAGAAAAAAGAAAGGGAGCCCCAGCCAGCCTTAATACTCCTACCAACAAGCGCGGTTATTTTTTTACAGTTCTGGAGCAGTTGTTCCCTACCCTGAGAAACATCTGGGATATGCCACACTCTACACACAAATATGAGCATTGGGAGTGGGATTTTAATTTTAATACTCCAGGCTGTCATTTCACTGTGACCATGTTGACAGACTCCTATGGATTAAATAGTCACTTCAAGGCTGTGCTTTCTCTACTGCTCACTATGATGCAGAACGCTTATTAAATTGTAGAGTACATCAGAATCACCTCAGGAGCTTGTTAGAAAGCAAATCCTCAGGCCTTACCACCAAGAATAATTTAATATGCTGGGGGTAGAGCTCAGGGATCTGCAGATTAACAAGCTCCCCAGGTGACTGTAGTGTTTCCATTCCAAACACCACGCTGCATAATTCTGGGTGGTTAAGCGTACAGGCTCTGTAGACCTGGTTTCACATTCCAGCTCCTCTTACCATGTCACCTTGGGTGAGTTATTTATTTCTCTGTTCCTCTGATTCCCACTGGGTAACCTTGGGATCATTCAAAGTACCTATATTATAGTCTTGTTGGTAAAACTCCAAGAAAAAAATTTATTCAAAGCACTTTAGCACAGGGCCTCGCACATAGTAATCACTCATTAAATACTGTCTTAGCCAGTATTATTTCCATGGTGATAGTAGTGACTAACACCATCATCTAAATTACACTGATTGAAAAAGTAGGAAGAAGATATATCTGACCTCTTTCATCTGCTAACACCCTCCTGAAGTGTCTAAATTTTCAGCTAGGTTACCTGGTTGTATTAAATTTCTTAGAAAATAAAGCATGAATGTGAAAGAGTAGCCCCCTCACCACTATGCAAATAAGAGAGAATAGCATGGTTTGTTAGGGCACTTCAGAGAAAGGAGACAATCAGTTCATACCTTAGCTCGCCCTCAGGTCAGAGCAAGGGGAGGAGGAACGGAGGTGGAAAGAAAATAGGCACAGTTGAATCCCGCAGGGTGTTCATGGATCAGCAGAGAGCGATAAAGCAGCAAACATGCGTGATCATAGTGTGAGTATAAAGTAAATCAAAAGGATTATTCTCAAACTTCTTAGGTTTGAAAGAAAGTCTCCAGAAAATAGGTGCTTTCAACAGTTTGAATGGCACATCACACACCTCCATTGCTTACCCCTTCTCGAGAACTAAAGTGTAGAACATAAAAGAAATTTTACTTTATAAGGGATGGTTTGGAGACAAATGTGGATGGATGGGATTATTTTTAAAACCTTGAATTATTTTAACTTTTTTTATAATGCTGTTGAACCAAAAGAAAAAATTGACTTTCTTTCAGTGGACCAAAGTGTAAATCTCTTAGTATCCCTTCTACCTCCTCCCTACAAAAGGTCAGAGTTGTCTTTCTCTTGCTTACCTTTCATCAATAACAGCATCTGAGATATAGCTAATGGCATAGCAGGATTACTAAATAGACATACATAAAGTAATTTCTACATCCCAGAAGGAAATCATTGCCACGTAAGTCTACAGCTAGCACACATGTGACTCTGACTCTTCATTTCCTTATTCGTAACAAAAAGAAAACTTCCCCACCTCTGCAAGACTCCAGTTGTCTATGATAAATTCTGAGACAAATAATCTTGATCAGTTCCAACAAATTTCATTTAGAAGCTGTCTTAGTTTACTTTTCTCATTGCTGGGACAAAATCCCCAACACCCAAAGTTAAAGGAGGAGAGGTTTATTTTGTCTCATAGTTTGTAGAGGTTTTAGTCCAAAACCAGCTGGTTCCAAGACAGGGCAGCATGGCACAAGGACACAGCAGAGGAGGAAAGGTCCGTGGCAAGGCAGGTAGCTAGCAGTCTGCCTTCTTTCTGTCCCTTTGTTTTCCATCTACACTACAAGCCTTTGGGTGGTGCCACTCCCAACGAGGGTGGTACTTCTGTCATCAATAAGTCCATTCAGCCACACCCAGAAAAATGCTAATTTTAATCAATGGACTGATTTAGTACCGCACATCCTTAATCCCAGTGTCACACACCCTAGATACAGCATCTCTGAAAAGTCGCACCTATGAGCATGTAAGGATTTGGGGGAAATACAAACAACAACAGAAGAAAATAGTTAATTATTCAAACTCTTCCCTCTTGTATCATCATGCCATCTGATGGTCTACACTGACCTCTGACTGGGATACTGTATACACAGGAGATAAACCTTTAAGGCTTATTCAACCATGTGCCTTCCTTTAACAAGAAAGAGGGAGGGGGTAAGGACAGGTTATTGGAGATTTATCACAAGGGAGTACCCCACCACTTTCATAGGAAGCCATCAGCAACAAAAAATTTTGCAATGAACAGGATGTAAAATAGGAGCACTTGGTTTCTCTAGAACTCATCCTGTCCAGAAACTCTTTCACCCCTTTACGATCTTTCTTATTCTATCATCATTTCACTTTTGTTTACCCTTTTCTGGCCCTTCTATCTGGAATACAAGAAGTATGAGCACAGAAAGAATACAAAATAATTTGTAGTAGCCATAGTCCTTTGAGCATTGCTATGTGTGTAAAAATAGTGCATAAGAGGAACTGTGTGAAATAGTTGATGTTCAATGATTTTTTTATTTTTGAAAGTAGCAGTTTCATATAGTTCAATCTAACATGAATTTTCCTCTCCTGAGAGACTCTTCTCCATGTGTCCTTGCTAGCTACCTTCCACTCTTCCTTCAAAAACCAGTCTAATTTATATCTAAATCAGCCTTCTCTGATCAGGCCAGTTCCCTTAAGATGGGCTCATACGGCACAAAACACCACTCAGACTACAGTTGTAATTTTCTCATTTTGCATGTACTTATTTTAATAACATCTCTTCCTCTGACAATATGATAGACCATTAACCAGAGCCCATACTTTGTTGCTTTTCACTTTTTTTAAAATATTATGCCAGGAATACAATAGATATCAATAAATAATTCTTGAATGAGTTCCACTAAGCCATAAGTACCTGATGTGATGAGAATATTTTTTGGCTCTGGGAGAATAGTTACTTCTAGTTCTAGCCTCCCACTCTGCCGTAGTTAGGTTGCCTACTGGATGTAAGTGTCCCATTGAAGTTTAGATACACATACTAACTCAAACAGGAGTAATGTGATACTTTAGTACTTTAATCCTTTATTTACATTTACTTAGCTTCTGTTAAGAAGTTTTATCCCTACTATAGGCACTGGGATTACATTCCTTTCAATCTAAAACAGAGTTAAGTTTTTAACTTCAAATGATTTTGAATATCAATAAATCTGGCTGCTGACCTTTGGATCCATCCATAGGTCTGATAAGTTATCACAGTTCTTTCACTCAAAATTTTTCAGATGTTTTGGCATGAATTATTCTGGTTCTGCATCTCTCAGCTTTTATTTTTCCTTACTGGTATGCA